TCCTGTATAGATATGGCATTGCTCCTTTCTAGAACCTCACAAATGTCCTGTTTGTGGCTTTTTCTGCCTTAGGGAAAGAGATCTGCTACCAACCTTTCGGCTGCTTTTCTGATGAGAAACCATGGGCGGGAATCACTCAGCGACCTTTCAAGTTATTTCCCTGGGCCCCCGAGGACATTGACACCCGCTTTCTTCTGTACACAAATGAAAATCCAAACAACTTCCAAGTAAGAGTGGGCATGTAATGACTGCATGGGGGTATATTTGGGCCCCCACACTGGAGTTTTCACTTGGCTGTCAAGGGCATAAGTCACTGCCTTGGAACTTTCCAGATAGTGCTCTCTCACCAATGTTAGACCTAAAGCTATCTTAGTTTTGGGGGTCAAAAACCCTTAAGTATCTGATGAAATCTGTGAATGTCTCACCTAGAAATATACATTCACACACACTGGGGCATAGAACTCCAGGGAGTTCCCCAGCAAAAGCTCCTTGTCCCCTGGGAGGAGGCTGGTGGGCACAGCATTTATGGGAAAACCCAGACCCAGGGTATCCCCAACAAAGTCTATCTCCTTTCTACACCCAGAAGTGGAGGGAGAGAAGCCCCACTCAGGAATTGAGACCAAGGGGATATAAATCCTTTTTGAGGAACTAGAAAACAGGTGGGGGAGAGGGGACATTTAACCACAAACGAGAAAAGGTGAGACCTCTTGGAGCACCCTTCAGTTCCCAGAAGGCCTGCCAGGTGGCAGCTTGCTCCAGGGGGTCAGAAGTAACCGGGAGACAGTTTCAAGGAAGATCTTGCTAAGAATTCAAGCAGCTCATAGCTCTGGTCCCTGACAGTATAGAGAGTCAGGTATCTGTTTCTAGGTCCCTGAGGTCACCCACTGTGGGGTTTTACATGACACATTTCCATTTAGTGCCTGTAGCCTGGAATCTGCTTGGACATGGTTACTGTGCTATTTCTATTTTGTGATCTTCCTTTTGGTATGTTGTCCATGGGGTCTGTGGAAGGGGCAGGCCTGTGGGCATTTAGGAATGTGTTCTAAAGTTGCACAGCTCCACTGAGCTGAATTTGCCCTCAGGCCTAATGCTCTAGCCCAGAGGTTCTTTACCTTTTCTGTGCCAGAGACCTCTCTGGCCACCTGGAGAAGCCTATAGGCCCTTCGCAGGGCAATGTTTTTAAATGCATAAAATAAAATATATTGGATTACAAAAGAACCCCATTATATTGAAAAACAGTTATCAAAACATTTAAAAATATAAATATGTGATATATTATTAGTACTATTTGTGCTGCTTTATTATCTCACTAACAAGATCCAGGAGTTGGTCTAATAACTACTGTAATTTAAAATAGTGATGAGTATAAATGATATTTTGAGATATCTTCAATAAGTATAATGTGACCTAAAAAATGTCTATGACTGCTACTGGGACAGAGTCACAGGTGTTGCTAATACCACAGTGGGTTGTTGCTTAATTTCATAATTAACAGAGATGCTAGATTTCGGTTAGGAGTTAATGAAAATAGAAGTCCATGAACTTGGACTTTCTGAATTCTATCCACAACCCCAGGTCAGGAGCTCCTTCTAGTCTGACTCAACTTCATGGGAGTTGAACCTGTAATCTCAGGTCCATGGCTCGGAAAGGCCAACATTCAAAATCATCTTTTTTAATTAAACCAGCTAATCACTGCCACCGACCCAGACACCATCGAGGCTTCAAACTTCCGAATGGACCGCAAGACACGCTTCATCATCCATGGCTTCACAGACAAGGGGGAGCAGAGCTGGCTGTTAGACATGTGCCAGGTAGGAGCCCCTCTCCTCACCTGGCCACTCGCTCATGAGACCAGCACCCAACACACAGATTCCAAAACAGCACCCCCAACACCCCAGAGCCCAGGAAAGGAAATTCTCCAGGGAGGGCTGGATCCTTCCTAAAGCCACCAAGGAATGCCTGGTTCTCAAGGGCATCCATTGCCGAGTTCTCCCTACCTACCAATTCCTAGCCCACCATGTCCTCTGAGGCTGGAGAGACCCAGAGTCCAGTCAGAAAGTCTGGAGACTACAGCAAACTTGCTGGCAATTGGGACTGATGGTTTATATAAAACCCCTGCATGACATAAAAAAAGAAAACTTAAATTTTACCCTCTAAAGCACCACTATCTGTTAGAACGTTTTGCAATGATGAAAATGTCTTATATCTGCGCTGTCTAAATCAGCAGCCACTAGTTGCATATGGTTATTGAAATGTGGCTGGTGCCACAGAGGAGCTGAATTTGACATTTTGTTGGGTAGTAGTTTGTTCGCAGATCTATTAGGTGGTCTGTTTGACCTGCCTGTGTCAATAACCACCTGCAAGACCTCAAACAAATCACTCATCATTTCCAGGTCTGTTTTCAGTTTCCACATCGATTAAGCAGGTGTTAGTATAGCCCGTTCATAGCGTTGCAGAAGGATGAAGTTATAATAGGTGTAAGGAATATTAAAGCTCTGACACAAGCCAGTTGCCTGATGGATGTGAATTCCTATCTCTGTTTATAAATTGGTTTCCGTCCCCTTTTTGTCTTCCCCAGAAAATGTTTAAAGTGGAGAAGGTGAACTGTGTCTGTGTCGACTGGAGACGCGGGGCCCGCACAACATATTACCAGGCGGTGCAGAACACTCGGGTCGTGGGAGCGGAGATCGCTTACTTAACACAAATTCTGTCGGTAAAACCCTGCCTGGGGCCGGGGACAGAGAGAGGGGGAGGGAAGCAGCGTTGCACCCAGAAGCAGCCTGGGGACCGGTGGGAAGGGCAGGGCTGGCAGCAAGGAGTCCGGGTTCTAACCAAGAAATGTCCTTTCTAAGATGAAGCTGCGACCTTCCTCCCCTTGCCTATGGCCCTGAAGACACCGCGCCACATCATTTCCTAGCGCTGGGGCCTGGGATAAAATAGCCCCTGAGCCTCAGTTTCCCCTTTCGAAGTGAGGCCTTCCTCCCAGGCTGTTAGGGTTATTAGAGCACAGGTGGGGCTGCCCAGCAGGTCTCAGCCAGCCGGTAAGGGGAGGCCCTTTCCACGGTCTCGGGGAAGCCCAGGCCGGGGCCACTATCCACGCTCTCCCTGCCAGGGAGAAGGGAAGGGAGGAGGCGGCAGAGTGAAGGTGGCCGCCTGCAGTTGGCGCGGTGGCCGCTGGTCAGCACTGTTGCCGCGCGCATTACCCGGCTCTGGGACGTGCAGACCGCAGCCCCGTGGCCTGTCGCGCCGTCCTAGGCTGAGTCCCCAAGCCGGCGGTTGTTCCTCCCGAGTTTCGAGCCCGGTTCCTGCCCCCATCCCTGACAGGGGCGGGCGCCCCCTCCCCGACCAGCAGGTCCCCACGCAATGCGCTGGGATCTGATGTGCCGTCCCTCCGCAGACCGAGCTGGGGTACAGCCCCGAGGACGTGCACCTCATCGGCCACAGTCTGGGCGCGCACGCGGCTGCGGAGGCGGGCAGGAGGCTGGGGGGCCACGTGGGCAGAATCACAGGTAGGGGGCGCAGGGGCCGGGTTGGGGTCCCAAGACCCAGGGTGCACGCAGCTGAAGCCTCAGCCCGTGCACTTCCGGGACGAAGGGCGCCCCTACTGGTCCTCCGGGAGCGGATTTTAACTGATGCTGTACTTAAATTTAAAAATAATTAATGTGTATTATTAATAGAAAATGCATGGTTATAAATAAAAACACATTAATTTTTAAAAAGAAAGATTTAACTAGCACATTAAATCCATGACTTAAGGGTTATTATTGCTAGGCAAAGTTTTAAAAAAAGTAAGATGATAAAAAATTCATCAGTTTCACAAAATTTATTGAATGTCTTCGCTGCGCCAGGAGAAAGCAGAAAATGAAAGTGGCTAGCTGAGACCTTCCACATAGAAGGCACTCAGTAAATAATGAATGAATGAATGAATCACTAGGCAGAATTAATGTATACAAGACAAAGACACAGACAACTATTTTGTACAGCCAAATCAGTATATAACTTTAGCAAACAATTCAAAATCCCTTTGCTCAAGGCACTAGGTGAAGGATGGGGGATAACAGTTGATATTTAAGTAGAATTTTGCAGTTTTCCAAGTGCTTTCTCTTACATCTTTTCATGGGGGTTTCACAATGACCCTGTAAGGTGGGCTGTTGTCTTTATTCCTACTTTCCGGATAAGGATGCTGTTGCTCAGAGAGGAGAGACATTTGGCCTGGAGCAGAAGCAGAGCAAGAATACAGATCACTGTGTGGCCCACTCTTGGGCACAGATGACCTGGGCACAGCCCCTGCTTCAAGAAACCCACAGTCTAGTCCAGGAGGCAGACAATGGAGTAGGCAAATAAAATCCACAGCAGAATTAACAAATGCAAAATAATGCAATGTGGATGGAATGGGCCGAGAAAGGAGTGGGGTTAGATTTTCCACTTAACCATGCTGAGATGGTGTTTGCGCTGGGTCTGGGAGGAAAAAGATTTAGATAAAGGAAGAATGTGGGGAAGGGCACAGCAGGCTGGAGAACAGCATGAGCTCAGACACAAAGGAATAGAAGTGTGCAGGACCTGGGGACTGGGGAGTAGTTGGGGAAGGCCAGGGCGCTTTGGGTCTCTCAGAGCAATGGCCAATGGTAACATGTGAGGACAGAAAGAAAAATGGACATGTGGGTAGGAGGCAAGGGTGTTCCCCCATCCTCCACAAGCCAGGCACTAGGGATTTCCAAATGTTCTTCCACAGGCAACAACCCCACTCCTGGCCTTTCCTGTCCCAGCTTCTCTCTCCCGAGCAGACCGGGAGCTACAGACCCAACCCCTTAAACCATAGCTGCTGGAGTATGGGGCCCTTTGCCCAGGAATCCTTCCTGTTCAGTTTGCGGGTACGGGGTTTAGATCCCAGTTTTTCTTAGAGTGCAGCTTGTCCACTCCTCCCTTTCAGGGCTGGATCCGGCGGAGCCATGCTTCCAGGGCACACCCGAGGAGGTTCGGCTGGACCCATCCGATGCTGTGTTTGTGGATGTGATTCACACGGATTCTGCTCCTATAATCCCTTCGCTAGGTGAGTTCCTCAATCCCGTCTCCTGATGACCAGGGCTAGAATTGATGACATTAGGTCCACGTCCACCTCCACACATATACACACAAACTTTGGTTAGCTATCCAAAATGGTTAATTACAGGAAAGGCTTGGGCACCGACCATTCAAAATGGGTACCAGCCTCAAATAAGTAACTAGTACAGTGTCAGTGGTATCAGCCTGCAACCTCAGATTAGACAAAAAACAATTTTATAGTGTATGGTAGGTTTTCACTCAATCCTTAACCCCTATATACTTCCCCAGCCTACAAATACCTAAAGTGGCAGATGTATAATTTTTGATGCTTGACCAGTACTTGCAAAATACAAAGTTAACTTTTGCATTTTTTTTCTTCTTTTGTCAAAGCTTTGGTTACAATTTGTTTTGTTAGAAACTAAATCTATTATTTATTTAGTTATTCCAAAATTGATGTTATTTTTTCAATATTTTCTTATATAACTACTCATGAAACTTGCCAATAAAGGGTATGTTTTTGATGAGGATGGTGATAATGATGTTATCACTTACTGTTTACCATGTGCTGCTCTCAACATTTTGCACGCATCAGCTCATTAATCTGGTAACATCCTAAAAAGTGAGTATATTGTCACCATTTCATAACTGAGAACTGAGGCTCAATGAGGTTAAGTAATTGCCCAAGATCACTAAATCTGTAAGTAGAACGAGAGTTTGATCACAGACCTGTGGGCCTCACAGCCAAAGCTCCTAGCTGTTATGCTATGGCTTTCAACATAACAATGTAATATAGAAATCAGAATTTTAAAATGAATGAAGTCATAAAAGTTGCACTATATCCTGATAGGTTTCTACTGGTGCATAATAGTATCAGGGCATATCAGTATTGTCCAGGGCTTTCCCAAGACAGATAGACATACATACTAATATATGTGTGTACACTCACCCAGAGCCCAGCTTCCCCATCTCACTTCCTCTGTTCTCTTTCCTGTCCTCATCTTGCCAAGTAGCCATCTCTGAGAACTTTCTGCAGAGCTGGAGGTGGTGGTGGCTGTGCTGAGGGGAGACTCTGCCAAGAAGGTTCTTTCTGATTGGAACAAGTTGAACATCTTGTTATGGCCACGACCTAACTTGGGACCACTTAGCTTCCTGCTCACGTCTGCTTCAAATATTTCAGGTTTTGGAATGAGCCAAAAGGTGGGCCACCTGGATTTCTTTCCAAATGGAGGAAAGGAAATGCCTGGATGTCAGAAAAATATCCTTTCAACCATCATTGATATAAATGGAATATGGGAAGGTATGTAAATTCAAGAGACGGCAATTGCTCTATTTGGGGAGGAAGTAGAATGCATGATCCGGCCTTCCTAATACTGAATTTGATACCACTTCTGGGGACTTATTCTGTACCAGGCATTTTCACAACAATGCTATGTGATGGTTACTATCAGAAAAATTACACAGTTTGTCTAAGGCTACACTATATTGAAGCCCAATTTCTGACTATAAAGCCTTGATCTCATGTCCCAGCCTGTGCCATCTCCTTAAATTGAATCCATGGCCTTGTGTGGGATTTTAATATTCCATGTGCTTGATGTCAAAGAGCATAGTTGATAATGCAACACCAGCTTCCACTGACAAGTAAACAGAGCTCTTGACCTCTCAGCTCCGTACCAGGTAACTTCTGGGAAGATGTGGCTGTTCCCTGCTCCCTGTAAGAACATCAGTGTCACAGTAATAGCTGCCCCCTCCCACAAATGACAAGCAAGGCGCACATAATAGGAACAAGCCCAGGTTTAATTAGAGAGGCAATTTAGAGCGAACAAGCCCATGAACACTGGAGTGTGTTTCTATTGTGTTGAGCTCTGAGTCACCCAGGCGCTGGGCACTGAGGAACAATTAAATACACTTTCTCCCCTATTATGGGGTCCCTGGGCAGCAATTTTGGATGAAAGAAACAATTAAGTTTGAAATAGGTTCTGTTTTCTGGTGAAGAGCGCCAGCATGGGACACACAGAACTCGGCTTTGGCCGGAAGCCGTGGAGAGCGGATCCACCCGGCACCAGAGAGGGTGCTCCTTCCACAGTAGGCGGGAGATGCAGCCCACCCAACCTCCAGGAGTGGCCCAGCTGTGTCCGAGGTCACTGTGAATGACTCCATAGGAAGTTTTGTACCAAGTAGCCAGAATGAAAAAACAATTTTCCAAACAAGAGGGCATGAGTTGAAAGGGGATTAATGCAGTGAAGTGGTGACTAATGCACTGAAGGAGTAGCCGGTGGCCACGGCGACCTCACTGTGCACTCCTGGTGCCTTGTGCCTGGCATAGCAAAGAGGACGGATTTCTCAGCCTGAGGCTGAGGCACAGAAGAGGCTGGGTCTGTCCTGATGGTCTGCAGTCCTCACACGTGTATAGAGTGCGATCCACAGCAGCGCTGCATGGGCCTGCACAGCCACTATTATGAAAACGGGGATGCACTGCTACCACTGGAGCATGGGAAGATTTTCATGTAGAAGTTGAGATTCTCATGAAAAATTAGAAGACCAAGCAATTTGGGCCTTTAACATGCAACAACTGGCTGAGCTGTGTAGGATCCCTTTTAAAAGCTGTTTCTCTCTCTTCTCTTAGTCTCTCTGACTCTCTCTCTCCCCCTCACCATGATCCAGATCCCCAGCCCTCCTCATTCATTTACGACACATTCCTGGCCCCTAAAGGAGTGAGTGGATCAACATGCTTGTTAGAACTTGTCAACAGTTGAACAGTTCTAACAGCTTGTTAGAACCTCAACAGTTGCCTGGCCCTGACTAAGTCCTCTTTGGCCAATCCCCCAGCGTGTTCAGAAGTGCTGACACCCATCAGTGAATGTGGAGGTGTTTCCTCACTTGGTCAGAATGGCTTACACTTCAAAGGTGAAAGGCTTCCTTTGAACTCCTTTGGCCTTTGCTGTTTCAGGGACCAGCAACTTTATAGCTTGCAATCACCTGCGAAGCCTCAAGTATTATTTGAGCAGTATCCTCAACCCCGATGGCTTTCTGGGCTACCCCTGTGCCTCCTACAATGAGTTTCAGGAGGTAGGTCACACCAGGGAGGCTGGGGAAGATATTGGTGGCCCTGTTGTCCACGTTTTTGTCACTTTGGCTTACAGCAGAACATACAGGGGTAACTCTGCAACTAATGGGGAGATACTGGAAATGCTCACAAAGACTTCTTCTTCCAGGAATGGGGGGTGGGAAGGGAGAGGCACACACCGTGCTGGACCCTCCCTGGGTTCCCCAGCTCTTCCTTTAGAAAAATTTCCAATCTACACAGAAGCTGAAAGAAGGGCCTAGCACGGTTCTGTGGACAATTCTGGGAATGGATGCATGGATGCATATGTAGACAAATAATTGCATGTATGGAGTAGTGGGTGGGTGGGAGAATGGATGGATGAATGGAAGGATGGGTGAGTAGTAGATGAGAGGCTGGATGGAGAATGGATGGGTAAATGGATAGATGGTTAGACAGATAGATAGATAAATGCATTGATTGAGTTAATCAAAGGCCTACCACTAACGAAAAAAATTATGTTTTTTCCACTAGAATGGCTGTTTCCCTTGTCCACCTGAAGGATGCCCCAAAATGGGCCACTATGCTGACCAATTTAAGGGGAATACCAGTGCTGTGGGGCAAACATTTTTCCTGAACACAGGAGAAAGTGGTAACTTTACTCGTAAGTTTTCACTTTACTCACTTAAAATGCTTGCAAATATTAAGAATTTAAAAAGGTGTGCCAGCCATATTAGGCAGGACCCTTGGTAGCAACTAACAGAAACTCAACTACAACCAGTAAGCTGTAATGTAAGGACAGTAGAATGGAATTTGTCTTGGGTCTCATGTTTACCCCTTTACTCAATAATCCTGATTAGGAGAGTAAAATGTCCACCCACCCCTGTTGCAGGAAGGATGCATCTACTAACAGAACAAGAGGGTAACATGAGGCAAAGTCATTGTAAGTCAAGAAGTCACTGCAGTTATGATTATCTGTCATAGTAGACCCACTACACACCCACACACATATACATACACACACACACATCTTGTGTTGTGTTGTGTTGTGTTGTGTTGTGCTGGCAGAAGGAGAGCAAGACAGCTCTCTGGGGTCCCTTTTATAAGGGCACTGATCCCATTCGTGAGGGCTCTACCCACACAACCTAATTATCTCCCAAAGGCCCCACCTCCTAATACCATCACTCTTGGGCTTAGGATTTCAACATATGAATGTTGGGAGGACACAGACATCGGTCTACTGCACCATGTATCGGTCAGGACACACGTGTGCAGTAACCGGCTGCCCTTCATTTGTCCAAGGGCACATGCCTTGCTGTGTTGGTAAGGGGTTGTGCTTAACCACAATATTTACTGCTGCCTGAGTCCCTCACCCCCACCTAGAATCTGAATTCTGGGTCCCAGGAATTCAATTAAGTCACATCCCTCCTTACCTCCCACCCATGGGGGATTCAGAGCTTTGAACAATAATGCTTCCATTGGGTCACTTTTTTCAATAAGATGAGTTCATTGACTGATTGTATTTCTTTGGACAGGCTGGAGATATAAGGTATCAGTCACACTGTCTGGAAAAAAGAAAGTGAGCGGGTACATCAGGATTGCTTTGTATGGGAGCAATGGAAACTCAAAACAGTATCAGATTTTCAAGTAAGTTCAATAATCATACTTTCTATAATAGATTATTCATAAAATATTGGGTATAAACTCCTTATAATCTAGGCATTTATTATACAGAACAATTAAATCTTAGAATGTCTGAACTGGAAGGAAGTCTTAGCATCTAAGAGTTCAATTATCCCATTTTACACATGAGAAGAGTGAGGCCCAGAGAGAGGGAACTCACTATTTAAAATGAGTCATGTGCTAACTCCTTTTGGAATGTCAATCACCTGACCTGGCTTTTATGAACATCAAACTCTCCTTAGGCAATGCACATGTATATGGCACATTTCCAACACATTGTTCATCCTCACACACAGGTACACATGAAACCTGGGGCCATCTTCTCCTTGCTGTGTGGCCTAAGCACTTGGCTTTGCTGGGCATGTGGAGGTGCTTGGTAAATATGTGTTGGACAAATACATAACCTGTGTGGTAAAATTAGATTCTGGTTTTGCATTAACTTTGCATAATAATTTTCATGTTGAGGTAAATTTCTCTGACAACTTTCTGTGCTACATATGAGATGCTAACAGATGGCATTGGCTGAACCACATGCCATCTTTACCTAAGACATTACATCAATTGGTCCTGTAACAAGAATTTATAGGGTTAATATGCCACCCCAAATATTTGACTTTTCCTTAGGGACAAAGTAGAATAGTGGAAATCTGGGATACAATATTTTTAAAAGGTGTGTTATGCACAAATACTCTTGTGTTTGGGCAGTTCCTGGATGCATATGAAGTCATTTGAGGTATTTGTAGAAAACCAACAACAGCAGTGTTTGGAGAAACAATGGATTACTATCATCTTATGTATTCATATACCCAGCTGATATAACATTTATGTTATATTTTCAGAGGCTCCCTCAAACCAGATGCAAGTCACATACGTGACATTGATGTGGATCTGAATGTTGGAAAAATCCAGAAGGTTAAGTTCCTCTGGAACAACCATGTGATAAATTTCTTTTCACCCAAACTGGGGGCTTCCCAGATCACAGTGCAAAGTGGTGAAGATGGGACTAAGTACGTATCTTTTATTCCATCTAGGTCTGATTATTTATATTTATGTATCAATATATCCATCTGTCTATCCATCCAATCACCCACCTACCCATCTATGTGTCCATTTACCCATCCATTCATCCACCCATCTGTCCATTCTTCTATCTTTTTCTGTGCATCCACTGAACTACTTACCTACCCACTCATCTATCCACCCTCCCACCTAGACATCTGTCTCTCATCCTTCTGGACATCCAGCCATCCTTTCATCTTCCCATTCATCCCACCAACTGTTCATCTCAACTCTCCTTCTATACATCTGATTTACTTTGAAAAAATCAAACATTTTCCTTAGACAAGATTCAACTTGACAGAGGCAAGGCAGTGGCTATAGGCATAGATTCAAGAAACAGTCAACTGTGACAGTGTTTTATCTCAAACAGTAAGGACAACACCTAGGAAGTACATGAGGAAACCTCTGAGTTGATTTCAGTTAATGTGCAGATATTAGTGTAAATTGGTTTGTATGGCATAAGAGGGGTATAGACTGTTTTGGGAATCACAATGGCAAGCTCTTCTCATTCTGAGGGAATAGAATCTCATGTTGGGTTAGAAGAGAACATAACTGTTTTAAAATATGCAAAGAAAGAAGGACACTTTAAAAGAGGGTAGTTGGGAAATGGGATGTTAGAAAATGAAGGAAATGTCACCTCTCAACTGCTCTTATTTAAGATGAGGAAAGTGAGAGTTGGAGCGTTGAATAACTTGTCTAAGATCACACAGGAAAGCTAAAGGGAAAAAATATTGGGCTTCAAAATGTTTTCAAAACACACACTAAGATTTTATTGAGCTGCATGCCTTAATTTTACTGGCTGTAAAAGCAATAATACTCCAATTCCTCAGCGTATTGTTGGAATGATCAGATGACATAGTCGCTGTGCCATTACTTCGTACACCGTAGTTCTCCCCTAACCACAAGTGATATGTTCCAGGACCCCCATCCAGCGGAGGCCTGAAAGTGCAGCTAGTACTGAACCCTATATATATACTAAGTTTTTTCTATACATACACACTGTACAGTGTGCATATGCTAGACAAAGGCATGATTCACGTCCCAGGTGGGACAGAGTGGATAGTGTGAGATTTCATCATGCTATTCAGAATGATGTGCAATTTAAGACTTATGAATAACTTGTTTCTGGAATTTTCCATTTAATATTTTTGGACTATGGTTGACCACAGGTAACCGAAAGCAAAGATGGTGAGGGGCTGGGGTGCTACTGTACTCAAGCACATTACACGGTGTGAGGCACAACAAGGACGGGACCTGGGTTTTCTGATGTCCCGTCCGTGCTCTTTCCACAGTGCCCACTGGCTCACCCAGCCGGATGGGGAGCTGAGGATTCTAAGAGATCTGGCAGTGAAATGCACTGTGGAAGTGTCTGGATTTCACGTTATTTAGGATTAGGGGTGTAGTTCTTATTTTTAAGTATAATATAGAACACACTCTATATATCCCAAACACCAGAGTCCCCATGCCACATAAAGCCTCCCTCATCAAGGAGCTACATTGTGAAGCTAAGCCCTGAGGGAGGGCTGGCGCGGCCACACTGTCCCCCTGGAGCTGAGACACCTGCAAGCCAAGGCAGAGACCAGAAGTGCCCTGAATCACTGATAACCCTCCATGATCTTATTCATTTTTAAACAATTTGAGATATAATTCTCATACCGTACACTTCATCCATTTAAAGTATATATTAAATGGCTTTTAGTATATTCATGAAGTTGTGCAACCATCACCACAATCAATTTTAGAACATTTTCATCACCTGAGAAAGGAACCCCCTGCCCATTAGCTATCATCCCCCAATCCACACATCCCATTTCCCCAGCCCTGGACATCCACTAATCTACTTTCTGTCTCTATAGGTTTTCCTATTCTGAACATTTCATATAAATAGAATAATACTACACACACACACACACACACACACACACACACACACACATACACACCCCTTTGTGACTGGCTTTGTTCACTTAGCATGTTTTCAAAGGTCATTCATATAGTGTTTGACAGTACTGGATTCTTTTTTATTGCCAAATAATATTCTACTGGATGGATATACCACATTTTGTTTATCGGTTTATCAGTCAATGGTCATTTGGGGTTGTCTCCACTTTGGGGCTGTTATGAATAATGCTGCTATGAACATTCATGTACAAGATTTTGTTTTCATTCTCTTGGGTATGTACCTAGGAGTAGAATTGCTTGGGCCATGGGATAACTCTAACCTTTAGAGGAACTGCTAGACTGTTTCCAAGTGGCTGCCACATTTTATTCCCAGAAGCTGTGTATGAGGGTTCCTTGGTGATCTTAACTCCACAGGGAAAGTCCCCTCTGGGCCATCTGGGGTACCTCGACCCCTGAAACTCATTGCTGGGCCAGAAGCCACAGACCCACTGGAAGACCCCTCAGTTTTGTAAAGCTTTAGTTTGACATGGCTCATTCACTTTTAACCCACTAAGAGCCCACAAGGAGAAGAGGATGTTCTTTAAGCAGGCTGACTTAGTAAAAAGTCACTTGGACCCTGCCTGGTGTAGCAGAGCTTTTCAGTCAAAGGATGCTGGATCCAGGGGGTTGGCTAAATGCTGTTTACTCACCTGATGTCATATTTTCACAAGCTAAAGAGCCTCATGCTAAAATGTTTTCTTCCACAGGTACAATTTTTGTAGCAGCGACACTGTGCAAGAAGATGTTTTACAATCTCTTTACCCTTGTTAAAAATGTGGCACAACTCTTGTCTCTTTGTTGTAATAAATTTTTTAATGCACTTGGTTTGAGGTTGAGGTGTTAGTTTGACATTCTGCATGTTCTGGGGTCACATTTCAGAGATGATTATTGACACTGGAGCCAAATTTGCCACAGGTAATGCCTGGAACTTCCCATCCACCCACTTCTACCGCTATCTCTGTCTTTCTGGGCACTTTGTGTGGCCTGTTCTAATGTATTTTATTTCCTTAGAAAATTAAGTTCTGTCCTATTTGAAAAGGTCATTGCTGCTCCCATGTGCCGCCCTCCCAGCTTTTAACATCCTAGGGTAATAGGGCAGAAACCACATAAGAGCAGTTCATGGCATGTGTAACTCCAAACTATTAAGGGTTAGGTTAAAATCCACCTGTGGCATGGAGGAAGAAGGGCTTAAAAAAATTAATACATGCATGTGGTACAAAATTCAAATGATACAGTAGTGTATACTTATAAAATGTGAATCTCTTTCTACTGTTGCCTTCAAGTCTTTCAGTCCTTCCCAGAGACAACTTGGATTTTTTTTCTAGAAATATTCTACATATATATGTATGTATCTATCTCACGCACCTCAGCCCAACCACACCCTTTGTCTCTAAGCACAGATGGCAGTATACTATATGCACTGTTCTGCATCTTGCTTTTTTCCCTAACAGTAAATTGCATATTAGTCTCTAATGGTACAGAAAGAACTTCTTCATTCATCATATGGCTTCATAGATTCCACTAAAAGAGGTACATGGTATGTATGGTTAGACCTATTTTCCTATTACAAATATTCATGCAATTAATGCCCTTTTATGATATTTTATATGTTATATATATTTAACCAATAACTATTTGGAATAGGTTTATTTTTATCAATATTGCCAAATTGCCCCCTATAGTAATCATACAGATTTACAATTCAATAAACAATAGGTTGAGCCGTATGAAATTGCCACTTTTGCAGGTCAGAAAAGTCAAATATTGGCAATTTCATATAAGAGCACTTCACCCTCTCACCAGTGTGGTATATTGTCAAACCTTTTGCCAATTTGATAGG